ATGCGTTATTATTATTATGAAAAGTATTTTTTAAATTGAAAAGTCATATTACAAAATTGAAGACTACGTGTTAGATAAAGATGTATGGAAAGACGACATGGGTCTGGATTCAACCCGTACAGTTTCTTGATCCTTCCTCACAAGGTAGCCAGCACAGTGAATGAGCAGTAGCTTAAAAATGACGTTTTCATGTTTTCAAGTATAAATTTATTTTATCTAATTGATTTTTTTTTTACTTTAACGGCCTGAGGTACGTTTTAAAAAATTATGACGGTTATCGATTAAAAAATTACATTACTTTGACTGTGTTTAATGGCAGTGTGATCAGTCTGACAGCCATTTGCCAAAACTTATATATTAATAAAATTAATCAATTCATCATCAATAATCATCATACATGTTAATCGCCCTCTTGATGATCCGTGGAGTTATCACGTTTCTATACATTGAATAACCTTTTTTCTTTTTTTTTAGACCTTGATATTGATCTCGTTTAGTCAAAGATAAAGAAGAAAGGAAGAGATAGTATATTCATCTAAACTTCAAAGAACTAATACACATAGAGTGGATATTGCCTCCCCCTGACTCTCCGCAATTACTGTATTCTAGTATTTTCTATATTTTGATGTTTACGTCATGATAACGTTATTTTATTTTTAAAGGCGAGTAACACTGGCGGGGCAATGGCAGTGCCCCCATATCTTTGTAAGTTAAAGCTCTGAGTGGCACTGCAACTGTTTTGGACAGGCGTGTCGCTTACCACCAGGCACACGACTTTTTCGTCCCACTTGGTATCATAAAAAATATACATTCGAAAAGTTTCGGTAATACAGGCCTACCTATGGGAATAGAACGGTGCACCTGCATATGAGGCAAATGCACAAGGCCACCACCACAGTATTGACAATTTGTATTAAATATTACTAATGTTGGTTTGCATATTGACTGTAGCTCAGTTAACTAAGCAATGTACACAACAGGAAAATTACACTAAGCACGTAATTAAATAAAAATCCCAAATAGCTCATAAATTACTGAATAATGTTACGCATGATCAGAGTTTACGATTCACGTGTCTATAGCTTGGCATTCTGTGCATTATCTTACACACCACACTGAATTTAATTTTTCTAAAATCTGTGATAAATTTCTGTTTTTGCTATGTTGTTCAGGTCACCTGCGTAAATCGATCTTTACAAATGCACATCGCGTAGCATGTGGTCTGTATATTACTAATCCTTTTCTTTGAGAAACCTTTTCTTGCGAGAAATCACGCAAAATTAATGTAAGAGCCTATGCACACACGGTGTATTTTATACGCGCCGTAAATGCGCGTTATCTGCGCGTATATGAACTGCGTGTATTTTGATAAGAGATGGTTTTAATTCTAGTTTTGTTTGTTAATTTCAGTTAGTTTTTGAAATGAAGCAACTACTGAAATTCCAAGTGTAAAACTCCAGTGGAGATAAGCTTCTTGCTTGCAACGCGTGTTGCAAGTTTGCGCGCGCGTTTGCTTCATATCATTACTAATGTGATATTAGCGAGTGCTCGGAACTGTAAAATTATGTAGTGATATTCGTGTGTCTACAGAAGAATTTGTGGTTGTATTTGTGATTACGGAACGCCACTACATGTGCAATTCTGAGCTCTCGCTGTTATCACTAAACAAACGTTGAGATTGAACTAAGTTTAGTACAGCTATAACTGCAATTCTAAGTCTATGGTTATCAAGGTAAAAATAGTTTTATACCTTTTTTTAACAGCTTCGTAAAAACTCCGGAGTACATTTTTTAAGTCTATGGATTATGAACAGTACAACATAATCCTAACAAAAGTTGAAGCAAAGAGAATTTAAGCACTACGTTTAAGTTGAAGTTGAGTCCTATCTGTCAAAAGTATATACCTATTTATATTCTAATACAAATGTATTAAATAATACGCCAAAGTTGGTGGTACTGACCTTAAATAATACCACAAAGAACCGATCAGCATTATTCGGCATCAATCTCATCGAGATTCAAATTAAAACAAGTATATTTCAGAAGTTATTTTAGAAGCACTTGGACCACTACCTAGATGTTCAAATTAAAAATAAACAATACTTGGATCTATGTATTATTAATATACAATATCGCCACAATAATAATTACAATGTATATAACTGGGCAAAACACACCTATCGAAATAATACCTGATGCCAATTATCCTTGCTGTGTGAAGAAAACAGTAAGTGATTATTTTACGTATTTGATTTTGAGACTTGGGAAATTACAAATTAGACTGCAAATCGAGTTTCAATTCTTACACGTTACCGATATGTAGGAAGAGAACAGAAGATTCTGTTCACGGTGGTTCTTAGGCATTCCGTAACATACTCATGGTCATGGATTAATGTAAGTTACGGTTCTTGATACGCACGTAACTTCTTCACTTTTTATGTCCTTCCATTGCGTATAATAGCGTCATTATACAGGAGTTTAAATATACATGTTTCTTTACGAGTATATTCATGACATATAAAGAACAACATTTATCCAATATCTTAAATGGAGGTTATAATCGTAAAAATGGTGTAACCACATTATTTATTTTTCTACAAAATTATTTTAATTACATTTGGATGCTATTTTCGTGCATAGAAAATATTCAATTTTCTTATACATGAAAATAGCATCCAAATAATAATTTAAAGTAATAATGTAGAAAAAAAACTTGAATGTGGATTACACCACTTATGCAGCAGCATGCTGTCTCAATTATGCGACAGTAAAATATCTAAACATTTTTAACTAAAACTCTATTAAATAACTTTCCTTTTTAATAATAAAAAATGGCAGCTGATTTATATCCAAACGCAATTCTGTGAACCCAACGCTGTGCGACGTGCTACATACAACGGTGTCAAAATATACCTCACTTCATTCATATTATCGCAGGCCACGATGGCAGCGCTACGTATTTGCATTTCAAAATGGCAAAGGTTATTGTATCTTTATATTCAAATGCATTATGTAGGTGTCACAAACGAGGTTTGTTTTACAGGTTCACAATATTAGCATAGTTGGCAACGAGTTTAATGTCGATGGACAACCGCTGCACATAATGTCGGGCTCGCTGCACTACTTTCGTGTACCGGCTGCATATTGGACAGATCGGCTCCGCAAATTGAAGGCGGCTGGACTTAACACCGTGTCCACGTAAGCACTTATACAGGGTTATTTGTAAAGTACTATACTTTTAGGACTATATTACTAATATCATAAACCACAACTTTTGTTCCATTAAGTACTTCTTACAAAACAATAATGAACTGTTCAGTTTTTGTTGTACTGTCTGACACTTTTCGTAGCTATAGAGCGCCTTAGCTATTTCTACCGCCAAGCCGTATTATGAAGGTTATACGTTCCGGTTTTTTAGGATATAGATGCTGGTGAAATTACAGGCACATGCTCTCACTTGTCAACTCGGCCGCCGTTAGTTGAAAGAGCGTAATATGTAATATTCGAAAAATGTTGTTATATATACTGCCGTAATCAGTAAAAAAAGGCCAATCGGTCACTATTTTTACTTTCCTAGGTGGATAGCAGTATGAAGTTACCGGAAGAGAAAAGTAGTTTTTTTGTATATAATTTCTTTAAACATTATTTTCTCGGTTTTGAGGTTTTGTCACAAGCGCCCTTTCAACTAACGGTGGCAGAACTCTCAGTGTCACGGACTCGGCGGCAATACCCCTCAGATCTTTGTGATTTATACGTCCGAGTGGCACTACTGCTTACTGCTTTTGACAGACGTGTTACTTACTTGTTCTTTTTGTTTGTCTTGCACTAATTGTTCGACCCGTCACTTAAAAAACAATTTGTTTAGATCTCTATAGTTGTGTAGCAACATTTCGCGCGTGTTGTCATTTAAAAAAGTGGTGGTGGGCACTTTTTTGTTATGACACAGAATTGTCACCGTTTAGAGCGATCTAATTAAATGCTTTTTTTTGTACGAAAGTAAAATCTGATGAATTAAAAGTCATGGAAAAAAGAATTGTTGTTTATGATGTTAGTACACAGCCCTGCGAGGTTGTTTGTGTTTTAAAAATAACCCTGTGTAATGCCCACATGCATGTCCATCTGCCACACCAGATGAACGCTCTAACTCCTCTTTCTTTACAGGTACGTAGAATGGAGCTTCCACGAACCAGAAGAACGGCGCTACTCTTTCTCTGGCGACCACGATATAGCGCAGTTCGTGCAAGCCGCTGCCGCTGAAGGCCTTTATGTTCTCCTGCGGCCAGGACCATACATTTGCGCGGAAAGGGATCTCGTATGTATCCCGTTTATAAAATTGTATAGCATTTACAGAAACGACAGTCCCTGCAGTAAAAACATCAAAACAGGGCGTAAATATGAAAATTAATATGTACAATAAACTACCAGTTAGTGTATCTGACTTGGAAATGGCTACATTCAAACAAACGTTAAAACTTTAGTTTGAAAATCACGCTTTTTATAAAATCAACGAACTTATGGATTCACCTGTCTTGTATAATTTAAGTCTGTATTTTCTGTATTTTGACTTACATATAGGCAATGTACTGTGTTGTCTTGGTGAATAAATCATTTTGTCGTGTTTCAGGGTGGACTCCCTTACTGGCTACTTGGCAAATATCCTAATATTAAACTACGAACAACCGATAAAGGTAATTTCAATTTCTAATTTCCTTGTTTTATTGTTTGTGAGAAGGATATCGAATTGACCTACCGCGTCCCAAGCAGAAGCCGCCTGTTCAAATCCGAGCTCGACTTCTGAGATCTCTGTCGATCTCTCTCTCTTAAGTGCGTGTAAATATTAGACAACATAACATACGTTGCTCTGGTCCCAAAGTAAGTAACTAAAGCACTTGTGTTATGGAAATCGGAAACAAAGACCACAAACCCCCAGACCCAGGACAATATAGAAAAATTCGTTTTCTACATTGACCCCGCCGGGGCTCGAACCCGGGACCTCAGAGATGGCGACACCATGATACTATGAGCTTTTCGTGAAGTAAACCATGGTGACGAAACCTGCACGTCAAAAAGGGTTCACAGCCCATGGAAAACGTGTGAAGTCCCTAACCCGCATAGAGCCATCCTGGCGGTCTTTAGCCTAAACCTATGCTTGAGAGAAGATCCGTGCGCCGAAGTGGCACATATAAATAGTTGATGATGATGACTATTGTGAAAATAATATTCATTAAAAAGAAACGCACTGATTCCAAGTTGCTTCAGCTGTACCGAACACAAGTATGGAGTACTGTTCTGATGCCGTAAGTTGAAAGGGCGCTTATGACAAAAACTCAAAACCGAGAAAATAATGTTTAAAGAAATGAAATTAAAAAAATATCTACTTTTCTCTTGCGGTAACTTCATACCTTATCCATTTAGGAAAAAATAATAACTAAACCTAACTTAACCTAACCTCCGGTTAAAAAAACCGACCTCAACAGTCATTCATCCCCTAGTTTGCCACCCTTAGAGGTGGAATATTTTCTTGAAATTTAAATGGAAGGAGAAGGTACCTCAGATGTGCTGAGGTACCTTTTTTCTAACAAAAAATAATCATCAAAATTGGTTCACAAATGACGGAGTTATTGCGTAACATACATAAAAAAATGCAGACGAATTGAGAACCTCCTCCTTTTTTGAAGTCGGTTAATAGTGACACGTCTGCCTCTTTTTACTGATCGCGGCAGAATACATTCATCATCTATTTTTGTTAAATGTCATGCTTTTCAGCTGACGACGGCAGTGCTGCCACCTATGGGAATTAAGTTTCGTTTGTTGTTCTTGCAATATGTCTAGTCTGGGCGGTACTCATAGTATAGGAAATTCACTAGCTTAAAACCAGGTAATTGATGAGGTTGTCTAGAACATTATTATTATGAGAAAATCCGTAAATCTGTGTTTGGATGGCATTGACTTACAAATATATGGACGACGGGTCTAATACAAAAACCACGAAAAAAATGTCCCAAGTCAACCTATTCGAAATTTAAATTGTTATGTCATCGCAGTATCGCGCTGTCCGTAGAACAAATGAAGACTAAAGCGGAGTGTCGCGCTCTGTATACGATTTTAGCGCCTTACAAGTGCGGACACTTTTTAGCGCGGACCCGACGTCCATATAATTGTAAGTCAATGTTGGATGGTTACATTTTTCCGCCATTCAAATACTCTGCAAAGCGGAGAACCACAATGTAACCGTCAGTTTTAATTATTTTTAATTCCTTACAGACTTCATTGAAGAAACAAAAACATGGATGGCAAAAGTGTTCGAACAATTGAGTCCTTTTTTGTTTGGAAATGGGGGACCGATTATATTGGTACAGGTGGGTATTTAACAAATCAATATGCAATAGTTTGTCTTTGACTACTTTGGTATCCCAGCTATTTGCATTGTGGGCAACGAAGAGGTAGGATCAATTCGGAAAACCAACTTTTCTAAATTGGTTCTGGTCGTGATGTTTTATGTTGTCCCCCACAGTGAATTCCGTTGCTCTAGCCCTGGGGGCCTACTATGAGCTTATAAGCGGCCAGCCAAGATGCATGCAATTCACTTGACGTGGTAAAACTGAAGTGCTTAAATTCGTATCATGACCTACACAAAGTTGAACGGGAATTTCATGGCTAGATGATGAGTTTTATTTTTTAAACGTTAATTGTTGTCTCTGGCTGGCTAGCTGACATCTAACAAGAGCGAGATGGAACTACATACTAAATCATATGAAAGAAATAGACAGATGTACTATCCCGGGAGCGTTCAAGTACTATTAACCGACTGTTCAAAATGAGAATAATTATATATTTTTTATTAATTTTATTATTGATTTACTACGTTGATACTTAGATACTTACTACGTTGTTTTGTAATATCGGCAACTTTTCGATCATACTTTACAATTTGTCGTACGTCAAAATTACATGTCATGTAGCCATTATCATTGAAATGTCTACGAGTTTGTAATTTGATAACATAATTGGTATCTTGTATTCGTACATTTTCATTGATTGCATTAAAGTAAAGTTTGGCACTATTCAAAAGTTATTTTACGATTTTAGGTAATTAAAATTATTAAAATTATTAAAATTCCATTTAAAACTTGCAATAACATTCATGCCAATAATTTATCAACAATATTTTAAAGATTGGGAACTCGAACTAAAATTTTCAAAAAATGCTCAATAGCTAATAGTATTTATTTATTGACAATTGGCTATATAGGCTATAGAGATAACAAATAATTATGAAACTGAAAATATAATAAAACTTAAACGGAATTTCTTGAAAATGTAACAAAATCTAAAAATAGTTAGTCACGGAGTAACTTTTTGAATTGCTTATTTTTACAGATAAGACCGCCACTTGCATGGCAAATTGCGTCATGATACGATTTTGCTATGAAAGAAAAGGTGAACGGATTTCGAATGGGGAACGTAAACTGCATGGACAGTGAACTGTTTTTGTGAGGTCATAGTACGAATTTGACAGGCAATCCAACTTACGGGCTTAAATAGGATTGCTCTAAGAGCTCATAGTAGGCCCCCTTTGCTCTCGTTCTCCGTCTAACATCCATCTGAAATAATTACTGTCAAATAAGTATCGAGTATGTAAACCATAGCGCCCAGTTACACGAGGAGAAAGTTTTCGGCGACCGCTCAGTTACCACGCCTTCGTGTACATTAATGGCGAATCTGAATTCTATTTATTATCCAACAACATTTAAATTCCTCTCAATAATATTACCGCGCGGCCGCCGCGTAGACCAAATTCAATTCAGTCTAGCCCGCGTGGCCGGAACGCTCATTTAATTTAAAACATAAAAGTAAAATGAATAGAGCGTAATTTGCCATGACAGTTAGACGCACGCGGTCGCTGCGCGGCGGCCCCAAAAGAACTTGCACTACGTTGATTTATGTCAAACACGGGAATCGAAAATACGTAACGTCATCTTAATGCCAACTGTCCTCATTTTGCCATTTTTGTAATTGATAACCGTTTCCGGTTGTCAAAGGGAAGTACATCAAATGTCAAAACAATGTTTGGCCAAATGTTTTAGTGAATTATTCGCATGAATTGTAATAAAATGGAAAAAAATATCGACAGTGAGAACAATTAAGTATTGATAAAAATGCGTCGCTGCAGCATTAAGAGGTGCGGCAGTAGAAAAAGCGAAAATCAACCTAATGTTACATTACATCGGCATTATGTGTTATTTTTCTGTCTATAAATCATACAATAGCCCAAATATCTCATGTAATTAGACTCATTTAAGTAGTTTATTCATAAGTCTTGCCGAATTTTACATTGGTTACTTTAAATAACCTGTTTGTTTGCATATTTTGATGATTGTTGATGACGACTATTTTGAGATAGTGTTGTTCTTGTAAGCAGACATATTATCGATATTCTGTTATTAAAACAATTCACTACGAGGTTTTTATTATTTCATTATTATTATTTTTAAAGTTTACCTACAAATGAAAAAAGAAAGAAACAGTAGTTGGAAATTATAGGACTACCGAACAGAATTGAATTGAATTGCAAAACCGAATTGGATCAAATACCATCTTCGTTTGTTCTCTCCATTTTGAAGAGTCAAATTTAAATACAACTTTGAATATTACTAGATTACTTACATGATAATGCAATTCCATCGTTACATTTATTGGTAAATAACTTTATATTTAATTTTGATTAAAATGGCTCATTACTTGTCTGGTAATAATAGCCTAGTATTAATCATACTTTGATTACAGTAAGTAAACTATACAAATTTGCAAACATAAAAAACAGTTTCAACATTCATTTCATTTGCATGTTGATATTGACTTATCTATGATTATGGTACAACACTAAATCCGCTATATGTGGTGGACATTTTTGGTTTAGGTAGGTACGTTTATTCCCTAGCTCCTTTCCTTTATTTTTTCCATCTTCTAAGAAATAGAGACGAAATGTTATTTAATTTGTATGAAAACTATTCTGCCCTACCATTACTGTGATAATTGCGCTCCGATTGGCCAGCCCGAATTTGAAACAACTGACGGGTGTCGTCAATTGTTTCACTTCAAATCGACCAGTTAACGTGAGCTTTGCAATGATGGACGAAAATTTCAAAATTACATATTCAATATTAAATTGCCGATGAAATTTAATTCCGTTTGTTTCGTAATTAGATGTTTTGCTGTTTGTCCCCATACCATCAAATGAAACAGCACGCCATTGTTAGAGATATTATTATGTTAATTACAATAAATATGTACTATAAATATATTTTTGGAATATACGGAGACGTACACACAGATCAATTGTTGGCGCTTCTATATTTCAGTGCAAACGAGAGTTGATGTTTATAAGTGAAGTATCACTGATGAGTTCACCAGGAATGTATGGCCCTTATTTCGTCTCTATTTCTAGTTATACACGATGCAAATAAGTAATACTCGACTAAATGACACTCCCTGGTACTCACAGTAGGTACAGGGGATTTTTTTTATTTCAAAACCAGGTAATTGGTGCTTAGTGTAATGTAAGGGTGCCAGGTAGTTGTTTGGCACTTTACTATTGTTCAGGCAGCTTACATAGTATAATAAAACAAATATGGTAACTAAGACGACATACGCAAGTAGCAACTTAGCTGGTACTGTGGCACAAGACGCGCTGGACGTTCAGCGCTATGCAGCGCGAGATTATGCGAATGTGTGCGTCCGTACACGGTGCGAGGCGTGCACGCACACATACAAGTCACGCTGCTACGTTTGTATGGAGTTACCATTCTTATCTTATTACACTATGCTGCCTAATTGTAGCACAATACAGCTAGACGACAAAGGTAAAAATAGTCGCAGAAGAATTTTTGATCTTTTACCTTCCGATTACAATAAAATTATTAGTTCACTTGTTTGTGTCACGTCAATATGTTTATATATCTTCAGGTGGAAAACGAATACGGTAGCTACGGCAGCGATATGCCATACAAAGAGCAAATACGAGATGTAATCCGCGAGCATGTCGGCACCAACGCCCTTCTCTATACCGCTGACGGTACTTACTCCAGCCTTATCCGAGACGGTGCGGTTCCTGGGACACTTACTACTATTAATTTTGGACCAGGTATGAAAAAAAAATTACTTGACACCTCATGTTATGAGGTCATCAATAGTAACACTAGCGATCCTTGTGAATGAGTTCGTCATTCGTTCAGGGAAGTACTGCCTCTTTACCTATTTCTGCTGTCAAGCAGTAATGTGAGCATTACCGATTTGAACAGTAAGGGTGTTGGTAAATAGGTAGGCATGGATAGGCGTGTCGCATAACACCGGGTGCATGATTTGTTCATCCCGTCGACGTCACTTGATATCATAAAAAAAGAAAAATTTGATGTTGAATTAATTCCATATGTTTTGACATGCTACATGCGCATTTGTGAACCATGCCCTAAAACAATAGTACATTCTATAAATTTGACCAGAGAGAGAGACTTTGCTGTGTAAATCAAACCAAGAATTATCCCAACAAATGTTTGAAATTTTTAACACTTTTTATACTCATTATTATTCTCGACAAGTAACATTGTTGTTATTTCTAGAGGCAAATATCGACAAGGTGTTCAATTCACTTCGAAAGTACATGCCTGAAGGTCCACTGATGAACTCCGAGTACTACCCCGGTTGGTTAACTCACTGGACAGAGAACTTTCAAGGGAAAGAAACCGCTCTCATTGTCAACAAACTGAATGAAATGATGATCAAAAAAATAAACTTCAATTTTTATATGTTCTTCGGTGGAACTAATTTCGAATTCACCGCAGGTTAGACTAATTTTATTTATTTTCTCTTAATTATTTCTTGAATCTTATTTCCATATAATTCAACTTACAGTTTTTTCATTGCAGGGGCTAACTACGACGAAAGTTGGCACAGATACCAACCCGATATAACCTCGTATGATTACGACGCACCGCTTAGTGAAGCTGGTGATCCAACATTTAAATATTACGCCATTAGGGAGGTTTTACAGCAGGTAAGTCAAAATTATTTTGTCAACAGCACATCAGACTTTTGTTCGAAAATCGCCTAACGGTACAGGATACGTCAATGTGTAGCTTGATGTGCTGTTGACTGTACATTGCTTGACGTCAGATTAGATTTATACCTCTGTATTAAAGTTATTTACATTTATAAATGTGTAGTAAGATGATTGATATCATGGTAGTAAAACAGTGATATTCAATAAACGTGATATTACAATTATTAAAGTGACGTCTTTAGTCAGCCGCTTGTAACTGTAAAGGCACTTAGCTGAGTGTAGAAAAACATTCATAGATTTCACGCAGATGGCGCTACGGCAAATAGTAATTAAAAACCAAAAACACAGATCTGCAACAAGCACATGAAACAATTCGTAAGGTCTTCGGGTTCGTTCCGTACCTCAGTTGGGAGAGCGATAGGCGCTGGTTCGAATCCAGCCGGATTGAAGGAATTTTTCTTAGTGTTCGATCTGTGTATTAATTAAATTATAACAAAATTGTGTAGTGAGATCTCACACAATGCGTCGGGCCAACACGTGATCAGGCAGCAACGGCAGGAAAGCAGCAGCTCATACCTATCACTACCACCGATACATAATCATATAAAAAATAAAATCCGCAATTTAAAGCCATTAATTTTCTATTTAGTATTAAATTAACTAGTATATGAGTGATTGTTATATTTAAATGTATTTTTAATTTCAGAACGATTCAAATTTAAAGACGGTCCCGATTCCGGCAGAATCTCATAAAGGCAATTACGGAAAGGTGTCACTGAGCAGAAAAATAAGCTTACTGTCTCCTGAAGGGCGATCGCGTTTGGGAAAGAAGTATTCTGATGTCACAGGATCGAAATTGCCGACATTTGAGAGTTTACGTCAGCGCGCCGGTCTTATGTTGTATGAAACGACGGTTAACGATACAAACGGAATATTGGAAATCAAATTGCCTAGGGATCGCGTTTACGTTTTCGTTGATAAAGTAAGTATTATTATTTTTAGTACCAGTACAGCTCCTTGTAAAAGAGTTCGTTTAGGGAAGTACCTATAGCACTTTACCTATTTCTGTCGCCAAGCAGTAATGCGAGCCAGTTTAGAAGGGTAAGGGTGCTTGTGAAGTTACAGGCACGTGAGACTTGTCAACTTGTGTCTCAAGGGTTTGCAACTGCTACGGACGGGCTTGCTATTAGGCGCACGATTTGTTCATCCCGTTTCTTGTTATCCGTAAAAAAGTAACGTTGACAATTTTGTCTTCTACCACAAAAGCTATCATTATTGTAATTTTTTCTTTTGGTGGTAAGCGACACCGCTCATATGCGGTACCGCTCAGAGTTTTAAATCACAAAGAACTGAGGGGTACTGCCACTGCGCCGGTCACACTAAATTACAAATTTTGACTTTAAAAAAGTATTCTTCGAGCAAAGTAGTTTTTTTTATTTATTTTCACATGCTGGTAACGAAAACAATAATTATTTATATAAATTAGTTTCCATTTATTAGAAATAAAAAAATACAAAATTATGCAAAAATATCAAAAAAAATTACTGTTATTCTATTCATTAGCAGAATTTCGACGACGTTTATTTGCAGCTCTCTTATATTCTGCTTCTGGAACATCCCGATAAATAGTCCAACAATAATCCGCCAACATTGAAACGTTCCACTTGCCCTGATATCGTTTTTCCATGTTTGCGATGTCCTGATGGAAACGCTCCCCATGTTCATCGCTTAAAGCCCCACAATTATCCGGAAATAAGTCCAAATGAGAATGTAAAAAGTGTATTTTCAAGGACATATTACAACCTAGTTTTTGGTATGATGATAACATATTTTCGACAAGCTCAGCATAGTTGTCACTTCTTTTATTTCCCAAAAAGTTTCTTGCCACAAGGCGAAAATCGTTCCAGGCTTGTTTTTCTTTACCTTCTAGCACAGAGTCGAAATTAACATCGATAAATAAATTTCTTATTTGCGGACCGATGAATATACCTTCCTTGATCTTAGCTTCCCTTAATCTTGAGAATTTCTGGCGTAGGTATTGAAAAGCAGCTCCACTTTTGTTCATCGCTTTTACGAAATTTTTCATCAGCCCTAGTTTTATGTGTAATGGTGGAAGTAACACTTTTTGTGGATTAACTAAAGGGCTATTTTGAACATTTTTTTGCCCAGGTTGAAGTGACTGACGTTGTGGCCATACCTTTTTTGTATAATGCTCTTTTCTATTACGACTATCCCATTCGCAAACAAAACAACAAAATTTTGTGTAGCCTAATTGTAGCCCAAGCAGCAGAGCTACGACTTTCAAATCTCCGCAGATTTGCCATTGGTGTTCATTATACTTAATGCACAACAAAAGAGTTTTCATATTTTCATAAGTCTCTTGCATATGGACTGCGTGAGCAATAGGAATTGAAGGTAAAATATTTCGGTTATGTAACAAAACAGCTTTTAAACTTAATTTAGAGCTATCTATGAAAAGCCTCCATTCATTCTGTTTATATGTAATGTTAAGAACTCCCATCAAACCACTGATATCTTTACAAAAAACTAAACTTTCAACCATTTCAAAATATTGTATCAACTCTTTTTGTCTAGTACGGAAAGCTGTTATAGCCACACCACTTTCTAAAAGATTCCACTGTTGCAGTCTCGAGCCTAGAAGTTCTGCTTTGTTCTTTGGCAATTCCAAGTCCCTTACAAGATCATTTAATTCAGCTTGCGTTATCATGTGTGGCTGTGATGATGTAGTAGGTACTTCGTATTCTGACATTGAGGAAATAGATGGTGAAGTAGATGTGATTTCATCTTTGTTGTCGTTAATTTTAGGAGGTTTGGGGATTGGGTGAAGATCGCTATGCGGCAGAGGGCGACCAGCCGATGGTACATTTGGATATACTATGGCACTTTTCTTTTTTTTAGAAACACCTTTACCTTTTCCGAATACTTGGGTTGTCAGGCAGAAATAACAATCAGTTGCGTGATTTGTCGATTCCCGCCATTGCATTGGCACTGCGAAACGAAGTGATGTTTTTTTGCCACTCAGCCAATTTCTCAAACCTGTAGCACACGAATTGCAGCAGAAATGTGGAACCCAGCTTTTGTCCTGGTGTGATATGTCTTTGTTAAAGTAGTAAGAATAGGCTTTTTTTATCATAGGCGATATAGAACACCTTTGTTTATTAAATATCACCTCTCCGCAAACGTAACAAAAATTGTCGGGATTATTCACACATTTCCGAGACATTATGTTATAAAATAATTTTTAGTTTCACTTTTTTTTCACTTTTAGCACATTTATTATTCAGTAATACAGAACAGAGCACTAATGTACGATATTTTTAACATTTGATGCCAACTAACAAAGTTAATATGAACACTGTCAAGTTGAATGAGGGTAGAATCGTAAAATTTGGGAGATAGGAGGTATCTTGAAAACTTAAACTAATAAATTACTTTTACTTATCAAATCGTATTTAGCATGTATAGACAAGCAGAAATTAGTTAAAATTATTTCGGATACTTTTGCATTGTAGACTAGTGTCACCCAAATTGACTAGTCCCATCCCCGTGTAATTTCATCAAGAACTCTTACCTTTCAAAACCGGAACTCATTAATGCTCACATTGCTGTTTGTCAACAGAAATAGGTTCGGTGGCAGTACTGAACTGGACGAACTCTTTCATAAGAAGGTGTACTGCTAATAGAACGTAATAACAATTTAGCAGTTTTAAGTAAGGAATTGCACGTATATATTAATAAGTTTTCGCGATTCCATGTACTGCCATAACCTATCTTCATAGGACCTAATGTGTCGTTTCTCGCAGGTATTCTCTGGATTAATAAACCGAATGACAAATACACACAATTTGTCATTGGAAACAACACCTGGTTCTGTTCTGTCTTTGCTGGTAGAAAATCAGGGACGAATCAATTATGGGTTACGTCTGCACGATTACAAGGTGGGTTTAAACTGCTCTCTTTACTTTAATAATATAGGTATCTAATCTTTTTTTTATGAACGAAAATGTACCTTCCATCTCACCTGATGAAAAGTGGCAATGGGGTTGACGATCCTGTATTATAATACCTATTCATTTTCGCCTTGAAAAGGCACAAGTTGTAGCGTTCAAGGAACACATTTGCAGACAGGGAATGCCACTTCAATGCCGTACGCCATGTTTTAAATGTGAAAACATAACGCTTCTTGTGAATCTTGCATAAATCCACAACACAGAGGTGGAACCCCAGCTTACGTCTAGTCCTCCCATAATGGAAATAGAATGGTGGAATGATTTCATGCGATTCAGTCGTACAGTCTCCGTGATATATATCTTGTAATCATTTAGTTGTCTAGTAGTTTTTTATCTCTCTCATAATAATTATTGTCTGATATCCTTACAGGGTATTCTAGGATCAGTAAAGTTTAATAATAAGAAATTGGATGGCAAATGGACTGTAACCGGATATCCGCTGGAACAAATGAATGCTGCAAGTCATACTGTGTCACAAACTAGAGATTATGGCCCGGTGTTATATGAAGGGAAGCTTACACTACCAGAAGGACAACATCCTTTAGATACATTCCTGGATACTGGTGGTTGGGGAAAGGTATTTATTTATTTAATGTAGTTGAATCACAGATACACTAGTCACATTTACTTAAAATAACATTATCAGCACAACCCGACAATGACGATCTCCGTGGTCGAGTGGCTTGCACACCGGTTTTCATGGTGTCGCCATCTCTGAGGCCCCGGGTTCGATACCCGGCCGGCTCAATGTAGAAACTAACCTTTTAATATTGTCTCGAGTGTGGGTGTTTATGGTGCAGTCGTTGTTTCCGATTTCCATAACACAAGTGCTTTAGTTACTTACTTTGGGATCGGACAACGCATGTGATGTTGTTTAATATTTAAAAAAAAAGTTGAAATACCTCGCCTTAATTGCAAACGTGTGGTTCATCGACACATATACAATAAAGACCCTAGTCTCTAATCGCCAATAGTCTGGATTTTCGAAGACGGAGTAAAATGACAGTTCATTGCGCAAAAGTGTTGCCCGCTTGTAAGCACCTAGTGATTGCATTCGATAAATATTCTATCGACTATCGACTGAATATGGGTCGCGCTTATGGAATAAATAGCCGAAAAATACTCCTCGGCCTATCATTCGTCCAATAGGAGTGTGTTGCGTTATTATTATTATAATTACTGAGCACAGGTTTATTTGAAATGTCAATTTTTGTAAGTTCGTACATACAATATATTTAGAACAATTTCTATAAAAAATACAAAGAGGGGACGTATTTTAAAGTTTTTCTTTTTAAATCAATTTATGTACCTAGTCAAATCTGCTTAATCTTGTTAAAATGTATATGAATTCTAATTTATTTCGGTACTACTAGTAAGTAGGCCAACTGACAACGTCAGAATTGTGATTGTTAACGTCATAACAATCACAATTCAGTCATTTTTGGCTAAATTGTAATTTCTGTCACAATCTATCGATAAAACTATCGACAACAACTACATGACTAATCAAAATTTTACGAAAATTGGCAACCCAGCAAATGTCATTTTACTACCGTCGTCAAAGAAGATAAAAATAAATATAGTACGTTTATTTTCAGGGATATATCTGGGTAAACGGGCATAACCTGGGCCGTTACTGGCCGTCGGCGGGCCCGCAGATCACGCTATACGTACCAGGAGTCTGGTTGTACGAAGCGCCGGCGCAAAACGAGGTGCTTTTACTGGAATTAGAAAAACCATCAGCTGACCTCACTATAGATTTCATTGACACGCCGAAGTTGAACGGTGGAAATTTTGCGAGTTAGCAAAGTAAGGTGATTATCACACTGCTTCGCGCCACGTAACGATGTGCGGGACGACGGAGTCATGCGCGGTGGAGGAGACGCAAACCTGCGTCAACACTTAGTTACAACACTTGTTAGCTCCGCGCAATTGCAGCGCTATTAATAATAATAATCATCATTTATTTAGGACTCTGAATCCATAGTGTTAGTATAACTTAAAAATCTGTGCTAGTATTGCGGCCCCGCGCCACATAGGGATGTCTAAAAACTGGGCGGATAAATCTAGATTAATGTAATATACAGTGTGCCATTTAGTAGCAGTAGCCCTCCGTCCAGGGAAGCTCTGCCACCTTATCTATTTATGCCGCCAAGCAGTAATGTTAGCATTACTGCGTTCCGGTTTTTAAGGGTAAGGGTGCTGGTGAAATTACAGGCACGTGAGTCTTGTCAACTTATGTCTCAGGGCGTCGGGCGCAGTGGCAGTGCCCCTCAGATCTTTCTAGCTTAATACTCTGAGTGGCACTGCAATTGATATGGACAGGCGTGAGCTTGCCATCAGGCGCATTGTCCCGTCACTTGATGTTATAAAAAAATCTTGCGTCGTCAAGAGCACGTCAAGCTTGACACTTTGTACTTTGGACCGTTCGTATCGTCAGCGGCGTAAATCTTAAATCTTATGTGACAAGCTTGACGTGCTCTTGACCCTGTGCGAACATACGTTGTAAGTGTGTTGTACTTCGCATGTTATCAATACAAACTAAAATAATAATATAATTCGGTACAACGTTAAAAACGCAGCGCCACACACTGTTGCATGAAGCGGAGCAGTGTGAAATAGGCCTTAGACTGTTAATAAGTACAAATTGTGTATATTATGTTGCACAGTGAAGTAATACAGTAATAATTATCAATTTCTAAGTAGCATATATTATTTCTATACATAAAATATGTCCCGTGGCATTATATGTCAATTGTAGTCAAAGTGACAACGAATTATTGTAAGTAATTTCATTTTTTATACCACAAATATTATTAGAATGTTGAAAAACTGTGTTGAATTAAAGATTTTTGTTGAGTCGTTCTTAGTTTATATTAACTCTCCATTTTTTTTAATTTTACCTTTAGTTCTTTTGTTGAAAATAAGAAGGGTGAACTGGTACGTACAAAAAAGAAACCTTCGCGGAATTCATTGTGTATTTTATTGTTGGTCTTAAATAGACCCAGAAAATGTATTCGTCGGTCAGTAAGCAGGCAAAAACTGGGTACATAAGGGGCAGATACCGCGTGTGATTCACTGTTGCTCGGCTTTTATTATACACACAGATATTATATTATACAGGTAGACCAATATTTTCCTAAATCTACGGGTAGGCCTCAAACTGCCTAAGCTGTTGTCATTTTCTTGATTCATAGAAATTGTTTTTTATTTTATTTTGTCCTAACGTTACTTTTCACTTGTAGGTACTAGTGTAATGTGCTTTAGTGAGTGTAAAAAATGCGCCTACTAAATGATTACTGTGAACAAAATAATTTTTGTATCAGAAACTTGATAAATACAAATAATGTTAGCCATCAAAAATGAGGTAATGTTAGCATCCGAAATGGCAGAGTATATTTACGAAAATTTCAAGAAAGTGATACATATAAAGTAGATACTACCGCCCTTTGAAACTCCGGAAAAACAGAATAACAGTTCTACATTTTTAAATTGTCACTTTTAATTACTAGTGTATTTAAAAAAAAAACTTTTATTCTGCTATTTATTTTTAATCTTTCCAAGACTGAGCGGTACACTTCATGTTCATAGTTGAAGTTTAGGATGTGTACAGATCTGGCGAATTCGCCGCAAATGCGCCTGTTTACGAAAGGCTCGCGAGCTGCACGCTTGCATTACGTTGACATGTATTTAATTGCACGCAGCATACGTGCAGTGCGCGTGCAGTATGCGTGCAGCGTACATGCAGCGCGTCAAATCTGTTCTGCACCCTAAGGTAAATGTAGCTTTAGTGTCTTATCTCTGATTTATAACTTCACACAGGCCCTCACATAACTTACTGTCTTAACTAGCCGTCGGCAAATTGTTAGGGCTGTGTATTTTTTATTAAGCCGTGGTAGCCTAATAGTTTGACTTACAGCCTCTCAAACATGGGCCGTGGGTTCTAATCTGGACTCGCACTATTGAATTTCTCGCAACTTATGAGCGTTTAATTTGAAATTTCCCATGAGCTTTTCGGTGAAGGAAAACATCAAAGGTTTACAACCGTCGGAAAACGTGTTTAGTCCCCAACCCTCATCGGGCGAGCGCCGTGGCGAACTACAGCTTAAACCCTCGCCTGCTCCGTGCCTAGCAGTGAGACGTACAAATGAGAATGATAATGTATTTTTGATTTAACACATCACATCTTGAACTGTGCTCGTGTTAATTTCAAAGTCATGCAGCCATACAAATATTTCTCCCGGTCCGCGAATCGAACTCGGGACCTCTGCGTGGCAGATCAGCATGGTAACCGTCCGACCACGGAGGCAGATTCCTATGTAATACATCTCAGTGTATTTAGTACTTAGTGCGGAAGCGACCGCCAAGGTCAATGTCGTATACATGAAACTGACATGCCGTTGACTCGTATATGCATGATACAAGTTATAGGTATGTGTATAATAGCGACGTATTAACGTGTATGAATTCGTAAAGAGCATCATACACAGCTGTCACGCGTCAATGCGACAGCCGCATGACGCTGACAGCGACGTCATATCTTAGAGGATGGAAAAAAAAATCTAAGCGTCATATAGACCATTGAGGCCTATGCTAAAGGCTTAAGTGTTGCGTGCTGCTAAAATTACGTATAATATTATTCCACGCAAAAGTAAAACATAAAAAAAACTACAAATAATAAAATTTTTAAGTACAACCTCATAGCAATTTTTATTATATTACTGAATTTTTCATAATCAGAGAGCTTGTTAAACGAAATAGGAACGACTAAATCAACATGAACCTTTCCCGTACCAATCGCTTTGCTCCAATGGGGCCTGAACATGTGACGTGAGAAAGAGATAGATGTTTGACCGTTTTAATGTGAGTGACTGAGATGATGAACCGGTTGACAGCGCGGGGACGGCGGGGTCTGATAACGCGACGCCGGCGCAGGTTTTAACCTCGGTCTGTCGTCGTGCATACTTCGGCAGCGCCGGAGTGTTCCGCGACGATAACGCATAAAACCACGTGGCCGGCAAATCGAACCTATAAACTGAGTAAGTAATTTTTATTTCAACCCAACTACAGACAGTATATACACTACATATTTTAAACATCTCATTGTAAAGCAATTTGTAACTTAAGTTAATGGGAATAACGGTAATTCGAATTCAGTAGGAAACGTGCGTAAATACGAAATTATCGTCCGTTATTAGTATATTTACTTATAATATTTTTTTTAAAAAAACAAGACTTATTTGACTCTGTTTATATAATTAAATTCCTCTTCCTATAAAATACATAATTTTTATCTTGCGATCCTTTTCATTCTTATCTATTGTGCTTTCAAACCGCACAAGGATGTGCTTAGTCTTCCGCGTAGACGTAAGCTGAAACTTGGAACATAAAAACTTGAAACTTACACTTCGCAATAGCAATGCTGCTTGGAATTAAACCTTGCAATCAAATAATAATTAAGTTCGAATATAGTCAGTGGCCGATTTGCCCTTTGGCCCAGTAGGCCCGGGCCTAGGGCGACCAGATTTTAGGGGCGGCCAATCGTGACAAAAAATTCACTGTTTATATAACAAGAAATAATTCAGTACCTAAATATTTTTAAGGCTCACGCACACTATGCGGGCCCCACTGCACCGCATCGTACTAGAATAATCTTCCTAAATCACTGTCGTACCTTTTATGTATAAAATATAGATATGTTACAAGTCTAAAATGTAATCACTACATCACTATATTATTATCATTACCGCGTCTATCTGTCTGTCTGAACTCAAAACAGAACAGATTTTGTTGCGGTTTCCCCCAATAGATAGCGTGATTCATGAGGAAGGTTTAAGTGTATAATTTATTTATTTTTGTGTAAGTTGGCTAAAATATGATAATAAATGTTGAAGATGTCGGAAAAAATCATGCCGGCAGGACGCTTTACTGGCATGCGTCCCGTAAACTGACAGAGACATATCAATTCAATGTTCTAGAAAAATATTAAATACTAAATTTCTGAATCGATTTCAATAAAAGTTGGCAATAAAGTAAATTCATTATGTAGTTTAGCAGTATGATAAGTGCTGAGAAAGGGACGGCTGGTACTGACTACATGGCCTGGGCCATAGATTGCAAATCCGCCAATGACTATAGCGTTATAGCATGGTGATACTTTTAATCTTCACTATGTTTCTAAGAACAACAGTGGAACTAATATTACGAGTTGCATAAGCCATGAGTATGTCATTTTTAATACAAACTACTAAGTTTCAGTTTGAGTGAAGAATTGTTTTATTAAATACTGATTCGTGAAACCATCTGTGCTATGTTCTGTTGTTCTGTATGTTATGTTGAGTTTATTTCCAGACTCTTTAGATTGATACGAAATAAATGAAAATCCACTTAATTACGTATGCTACATATATACAGGGTGTTACAAAAATGCTTAGCCAAACTTCCGTTGGTTCCGTCATGTTAATGATGACAAACAAAACATAATAGGCAAAAAATTTTGAAAGTGTGTTAGATAAATTTATTTCCTCCTTATGGAATATTGATTGAGCGCACTTATTATATACAGTATTTAAATTAAATTAAATTATTTATTAAACAAATTGTATTGCTATCGTTAGTATAATCTATGACTAGCAGCGGTCTTGTGTTCGTCTATTTATTTTCTTTTTAAGTTGTAATTTGGCTGACTGAAAAACCTTAACGTTACTGCCTATATATATAGAGTCACGGCCTTCCTATTACAGGCTTGTCTTGTGAATTAGACGCCTTTATTGCTTATCAGCACATCAGTTTCATTCTCTTGCAACGTAACAACATCACAACGTACACGAGTATATTACGCATAAGTTACTTTATATAATATAATCTTCTACGAGAACAACAGAATCATTTAGTTCATATTGTAAATGTCACAAGGTCACAATATTACAATTTAATCATTCATTCATTCGTTCATTCATTCATTCATTCATAAATGATAATAAAATATAAATAAACACAAAGTTTAAAAAATATAAATAAACACAAAATACAACGACGTTCATTAAAAATAAAATAAAATGTTTATTTATTCCAAGGTATATACCAAAAACAAACCAAAAGCAAACCAATTTTTACAAATGTATGAATAAATTTTTTACGTAAAACGAATTTATATTTTAAATTAGGCTTCCATTGTTGAGGGTGTAAAAATTAAGCCCGGTTTTCTCTGTTACATAGTTCACATTCATTTTTTTATTATTTTGAATTGTACAGTCACATATAACAATGGAACTATAATTTTGAAAACAATGGCCAAAAAAGAATAATACAGCGAAGAATGTTACGGTTATGATGCAGGTCGCCAGCACTCATAAAGTAGCATGTAGTATGTATACATTCTGTCCTTGCCATAGATCCTTCGCTCCGCCCAAATTTGTGAAACAAATATATGCCTGAAGTTCGCGTGACATGCGACAGGAGATGTTGAATTTTGCGCATTAAAAGTACCAAATTCGTTTTAACGGAATAACTCTAAAACTAAAGGAATTAAAAAAAATCCGTAGTGACAGTTCTCGATCATGCATAAATATAATTATCTAATTTTTGTCCTAATAACCTGTAGCATTTCGAGGAAGAATCGAAAAAATGTGAAAATTAGATATAATTTCGTGATATACATTACATTACATACATTTAGTGGATATACCCCTCTAAAATCAAATCGAAGATTAGGATTTTTTCCTCTGCTCCCTCTTAATCTATCTCCAATAAACTTTAGGACTTACAATTAATTTAAGGAAAATTAAATATCAAGCATTTAGGTCTAAATTCCCTCCTACAGGAGCCATTGATTTTCCCACACCGTATATTTCAAATAGACAAATCGATGGACGTAAATAGCAAATGCTGCAATGTAGGAACTTTCTCCATACGAGTCTATACTCGGTTCAAGTACAAGGTTAATTACTGCTATTATAATTACAAGGAACCGTCAAGTGTCATTCAGAAATAAATGTTATTAACCTACATTACACACTCTCGCTGATTATAAAACAACAAAACAATTATTATAGAACAGCAAACATTTTTTTTTTCAAAATAAACAAACGTAATCCAGCTATTTAAAAATGGGACATTCGCAAAGTCACCTCCATTACTTTCAATTTGGTTTCAATTTTGACTCATTAAAATCGACCGAATCGTATAGAGCGTTGCAATTTTTTGTGAACCTCAGTATTTTTCGTCTTGCAATGAGTTCATTTTGAGCGCTTGGTGGACTGTAGATGTTATCATTGAATGAAATTGCTTTAGGCAACGATATCTATGTTTAGTATAATTGGTATATGAATAAATGAATACTGAATATTGATTATTATGATATTTGTTCTTTTATATCTAGAGTAACCAATATGTTAGGCAAATTGATGAATTGATGAGAACCGTTTTCTACTCGTTCTTGGCTACTGCTACTTTGGGTTCCAAAGGAGTTGTTCCTCTAATGGTACTAATATAACTGGAAAATTTTACCGGGCTATTAGTTGGTTTTTTGTAACGAGCTCTCAAAATCTAGAAAGTCTGAATTAATAACAAATTATTTTTGACCTGCAATTTCCAAAAAATCATTAGGGATTCCAGTGTTCCTGGTAATTACTTTAACATATCTACCACACTTTTGTTTTAAATAAATAAATTAAAAATTAGGGTCACAATATTTTTTTTATTATTTTGGTAAGCTCTTTATTTCCAGCTTAAGTGTAGGAAAAATTTGAGGCTGGTTAAATTTTTCTGGGAATAAAGTATACCAAGCTCCATACTAATTCCGTACAAATATTTTTGCTTTAGTTGAATTTCTATCATGTTTTTGTTGAATATGTGCATACAAAATTTAACTTTTGTTGCACAATGTATACTTAGCACACTGTGGACCCCGCTACGCTAATGTATTAGGGGTTAAAGTATGAAATTGCCGTTTTATTGCAATAGGTTCT